TTCGGGTCGCGGACGGAGACGCGTTAGACAGTGCTTCCAGTGTTCCCGATTATTAGCCACACTCCGAGTTTCGGCAAAAACAACTGGAATCTGAGCAGACTGCTTCCATATATTTGTATCAGGTTGATCTTGGTCATCCCCTGGGCTTTCTGCCGATCAGTTTGACAAGAAATAGTTGCTTAGCCTTCCTTTCTGGAAGCGTTCGCAACGCATGGCCATCCATCGTAGCCGTAACTTCTCAGCGAAACGCGTAAGGTCATCGATTCGCCTCAAAAAGCCTATTTCAGCCGCTTGTACCCCCCTAGATTGAAGCTTTTCACGCATGGCTACGACTCAAGACCGCAGGTAGGCATGGTACTGAAGATCGACTTGAACACCGACACCTCAGTCACTTAGCTATGCTTCAATCGCAGTGATTCGGGGTCGTTCTCGCAGAATGCCACTGGCTCTTCCAATCCGCCGGCCGCGAACCTTTTCAGCGAGCGCTATAGATCAGTTTGAGAAGATGCCAATTAAAAAGGATCGTGTGCAAATACCAACCTTCTCGTTTCGGCATCTCCTACGCTGATACATTCATCGCCGTGGTTGCGTCCGATATGACAGAAACAGGAGAGGGGGCAGAATACAGTTTTGGCGTATAAAAGTGCCAACGCTAAAAGATGTCGACGTTACGCCATTTACTCTGCCGCTGCATCTTCTTTCAGCATACGGTGATTGAACTGCCCATAGCAACTGACTATCGATCCCATTTATTCACAGGCATGCCCATCGACTGCTGTGCGAGATTCGGTCGTAGTAAATTTAAAAATATAAATTGATTCAGTTGCTAGGTACATTGGCAGCGGATGATTTAGTGAAAACGTAAGAAGCAGAAATCGCTAAGTAGGCATATCGGGAAATTAGGATGCAAATTTGTAACTGACTGCTTAGACAAATGGGCAAGAAATTTTTTCTATCGGTATGGAAATGATCATGTAGTCAAGTATATATTTTTAAGCCCACGTGTAAAAGTAAAGAAATATGCAGACAAGCGATTAAGTAAATAAGTAGTAAATAAGTGGGTAAAGAAAAAAGCGAGTGACCAGAAGAATTAAATGAGTGGGTGACTAAGCAGTCAGTGGCTGGATAAACAGTTGAGCACTAAAATAGATACGCAGGCAAGAAACAAAAACGACTAAGCACAAATGAAAACAGATGATCGAGTAACTAACAACGTAAATAAATAAGTAAACGACTACCTAGCAGATGAGTAGGTAAATGAGTAAATAAATATTATCGAAGCTAGTAAGTGAATAATTAAGTTGGAGACCAAGTATGGAAGTGAGTAACTGCCTAAGTATATAAGTAGATACTGTGTTGGATCCGGACAAGGAAAGTTTGGCATCTTTTCCAACCTTAGCGGTGCGGAATTCAGTTTTCATGGTTAAATGTGGTATTAAGTTGCTTTTGCTCCACACTTGAGCAGGGTAGACGAGTAACGACTCGGACTGTACCTCGACACAGTACTACCCGTTACTCCTAGTTGCCTAGGGTTAAACCGTTTAAAGAGGCAACGGTTCTCCTAGGCCCATAAGCAATT